TCCTTGAGAATAATTGTAATAGCAATTTAAGAGCCCTTGTTGCTCATTTTATTATTCCTGCCATTTCATCCACTGATGGATTTTTCTGAAAGTTATGCGTCATGTTCCTCAGAATCATCACATGTCCAGTAATTTTTGATTGGATGCTGGGCATGCAGTTCTAGATTTTGTTGTTTTCCTTTATAGAGAACTTACTCTGGCTGTTGTTTCAGTGACTTGTGGGTCATATTTGTTCTTCAGAGGCTTGTTTTTAATCTTTGTTAGGGGTAATCTAGGGTACATTTTACTCTGTGGCTAGTTTAGTCCTAAAACTGAAGCATGGTTCTTCTCTGATCTCTACTGAATATCCCAGGGGACCAATCAGGACTCTTTACCTCTTTACTCTTGCTTGTCAAATCATGAACATCTCCCAGCCCTTTGTAAGATTGGCCATTTTATTTTTGCCTGGCTTAGTGGTCTTTCATGCTATACACTTGGCTTATCCTATATAATAAAGAGGTAATATGCAAACTGACTGTCACACCCTTGCACAAGATGGCCACCCACATGTGGGCACAAGATGGCTGGCAGGAGAGGGCAATTAGGGGCAACCAGGTCAGCAGGGCAGGTCAGTCAGGCGTGCCCAGGCTGGAAGGGGAGGGCAGTTTGGGGTGACTGGACCAGCAGGGGAGGGCAGTTAGGGGTGACTGGGCTGGCAGAGGAGGGCAGTTAGGGGGACTGGGCTGGCAGGACCAGCAGGGGAGGGCAGCTGGGGGCGATCAGGCCGGCAGGGGAGCAGTTAGGCGTCAATCAGGCTGGCAGGGGAGTGGTTAGGGGGTGATCAGGCTGCAGGCAGAAGCGGTTAGGGGCAATCAGGTAGGCAGGTAGGCAGGCAGGCAGGCCTGGCAGGCGAGCGGTTGGGAGCCAGCAGTCCCAGATTGTGAGAGGGATGTCCCAGATTGGAGAGGGTGCAGGCTGGGCTGACAGACAACCTCCCTCCTCCCCCCAGTGCACGAATTTTGTGCACCGGCCTCTAGTTGTTCAATAACAGACCCACAGATTCATATATATCATTCTCTGTAGAGCTTCCTCTTGTTTGATACTCCACTCCATAAATTATAGTTTCTTTAACTCTCTAAACTTTGACAGTATCTCCTCAGCTCAGAGTGTGAGTGCTATGTTTGGGTTACTGCTTTCTGTATTATGATCTGAAAAGTGCCCCCCAGGAAGAAAGCTGAGTCAATTGCAGGAATAGAGAGCTTATCTCTCCCTCAACCAACAGAAAGGGGCAGAACTGCAGTCAGTTCTGTAGATACAGGATTAATTTGGTAAAACCCAAGTCCTGTGGCATTTTGGGAAAAAGAAATAGCTCATCTTTTTTCCCCCTCTAAATCATACCAGAAAAGGTAATAGACAAAGGTAGTCATCTTTTGAAGGGAGCATTTGTTAGGTACAAGATTTTCACCTGTCCCCCTTTACCATTATTGCCAATTAATGGCAGACCCAACTGTAACCTACGAATGGGAACATAACAATGTAAAGCTTCATACAGCTCTTGTAACATTTATAACTGAATAGAGAATATGTATGATTAGCCTCTGGGCATGAGGGGCATTGTTTAAAGGCAGGGCTTTCACGCTTACAGGGTGGCAGATACCCTACATGTTTCTGCTGCACCCTGTGACAGCTGTCTGAGATCTCAACACTTCCAAAGTTATCACAAGGAACTGAGCATTCATAATACCCGAGAGCAGTTCTCACCCTGGAACATTCTAGCATCACTAGGGCATGCCTCTGGCCCACACCAATGAAGTCAGACGCTGGCAGTGGTGCTTGGCTATCGATATTTTTAGTAAAGACTTCAGGTGATTCTAAGGGGAAGCTAGGTTTAAGGACCATTCTCTTAGACCAGGGTCCTCAAACTACGGCCCACGGGCCACATGCAAATACAAATATTGTATTGGTTCCCGTTTTGTTTTTTTACTTCAAAATAAGATATGTGCAGTGTGCATAGGAATTTGTTCATAGTTTTTTTTAAAACTATAGTCCGGCCCTCCAACGGTCTGAGGGACAGTGAACTGGCCCCCTGTTTAAAAAGTTTGAGGACCCCTGTCTTAGACTGTTAGTCCACATGAAACTGGACAGCAGAGGAGAATATAGAGTTTTAATGGTGTTCCTGACCTTCTGCGTGGGCTCCTTTTGTCTCCCTTAACATTTTTTTTTTTTGCCCTGTTTAAATCTACCCACCCCACTATGTCTGCATCACATTTCTTTTCTTGAGAATAATCCATCAATTCTGAAAATGAAATGCTCAAATGGGACATGCTCTACAGCCTAGGACTTTCTGGTGATTTAATTATCTAATTACTGAAGCCGGCTGCCAAGCACAAAAGATTTCATTCAATTTCACTATTTTATAACACAGTTCAAAGAACATTTGAACTTCTAATTCAATTTTTGTTCTTTTGAGACTATTCTACAGAGTTTCGCGTGTCGCTAATGACAACTCCATTACTGGACTTGTAATCACTCTGGGGTTGTCATTTATTTTTGGAGTATAGAATACATGTGCTGACGGAGAAACTGGTGCTCAGATGGCTTAATTCTTCTGAACTCTTTTTGTCTTACGTAGACTCCCCTGACAGAAAAGACAGAGGCTTGACAGGAAGGAAAGCTAATGGAGACACAGTGGATACAAAGACTGAGGTAGAAGCGACAGCAGCCAGGTGAGGAGGCAAAGTGCTTCTCTTTCCTCATGTGTCTGCTCTTGAGAACTGCAAACACTTCTAAGCTCAAGAGCATGTCTGCTCACTGTTCTTTACACCCCAAAGCCAGAAAAGCTGCGCAGTTCTGGGCAATAAAGGAACTTGTGTGGTTAAGACAGCATTCCCAGACCTTGACTAAAGAGCTGCTTTGTTTGAGAAGCTATGATTCTGCAACTGAGCCTCCAGGGTTCAAGGGTTGAAAGGAGTGGCAAGCTGTGGGAGACTCCTTCCAGCCAGCCAGAGGACCAAACAATACCAGCCACCACCAGGGTGATGTCACAGCCACACACATCACAATCTTGGTATCGAATTTGCCACACTTCAGCGATGTTTCAGAAATTCCACCCCTGCCCTCAAACCAACAAATGTTCACTTTTGAAAGCACTACCATACAAACAATACATTTAAGAATTTTTTTTTGAACATAATTAAAGCACAGTGATTCATCACAAAATTCCAAATGGCCAGCAGGTGGCGCTACAAGGAAGGGGCAGTGTGAGAAGGGGCTTGTCCTCCATAAACCACAGGTAAGGACCTGGGGGAGGACATACCCTCTCTGCCTGCACAAGTGTTGTTTGGCTTGCAGAGTACCATTGGCCTTTAATTATTTTCCAACATTCTGAAGACGAACACAGATATTTTATTTAAAAAACCCTGTATTTCCTGATTCTCTAGGGTTGCTGAAATGTCCAGGCACACTGACATTTGGGTTAAGAGCTGGCTGGAATTGAGTGGTAACTGTCCTTAGAGGGGTCTCTTTGCCGCTGTCCCTCCTCTTCACTTGTTAAGTTACTCTCGACACTGTGGGCACTGGACTTTGCCACCTGGCACACACCCTCAGCCCAACCCAGACATTCATTTCAATGCAGAGTGTCTTTAAAATTGCAAAGCAAGGAGAAGCTAATGCAAAGGATGGGGAACTTCACAGACGACATGATTCATAAAAGTATTTAAATGAATTTGCATGGGACATCCAAGGTGTCTGGGACGTTGCCTGAGAGGCAGCGTCACCTTGGAGGCCTGAGCACGGAGCCATGATGTCTGGTGTATCAGACCTTACAGTCCGTGATGGGGCCTCTCAAGCCAGCCGCCTTTCTGTTTATTCTCTGGCAGGTAGAATAAGGGCAAAGCATCTTCTTGCCTTAATGAGGTGGTGAAACATGTAGGGCTCATGCCTCTGTGAGCTGAAGCAAGAAAGGGCGGTGGTCTGAAGCCCTTCCTTGTCGGACCTCCCTGGTTGAGGAGGCTACGCCCCACTGGCTACTGTGGGTGCCACACCTGTGTGGCTGCGCCAGGCTCCTGGGCGGGTCTGTCTTTTACCAGTGTTTGAACTACGAACTCCTCGAAGTCAAGGAGCCAGCTCTCCACCCTCAAGGATCAACCTCCTACCGAAGGCAGGCGGTGTGAGGTTGATACATAAAGCAGACACATGACCTCATGAAGAGCGGCTCCGCCCCAGCTCCTCAGTGCCCACCACCAGGAGATGCATTATTCAGCATGCGATTGGCTCACCGAGAGATTCGTGCCACAAAGGGTCATTTCCCCTCCCATTTTGGTTCCCATAGAGTGCACACATTCCTCAATAATGGGAAAAGGTAAGGAAAATATTATGGGACACACTATCCAGATAGAATGCAGATGTTTTTCTCCACAAAAATCATCCATGATGGCTTCTTTTCCTTATGAGTTAATCATCTAGATAGCTCATAGGTCCTTGTAAAAAAAAACAAAAATGAGAAGCATGGACACACTATCCAGATAGAATGCAGATGTTTTCCTCTACAAAAAGCATCCACGATGGCTTCTTTTCCTTATGAATTAATCATCTAAATACCTCATAGGTCCTTGTAAAAAAAAAAAAAAAGGAAAGCTCAGCTGACTGTCTCACCACTGGGCCTGCTCACTGGGGGGAAGCAAGGAGCCGGAACACTAAACAGGAAGTCGTCACTGGCTGTTATTATGCTCCATGGGGCTCCTGTGCTCTCAGCTCTCCTCGGAAAAACAGATGTTTAATGGGCTTTTCATGTGTAAAAGCACGCGGAGCTTAAAGAAGTGGCTATCCATTGACTACGGTTGCAGTGGAAGGTCTGGACCCAGATTATGTGTGTGAGGGAGGAAACCGTGGCTCACCCTTAGGAGAAGATGGTGGAAAGAACCCTGGTGGGTGCTGCTGTGGGGCCAGGGGTGTGGGAGGCGGGGAAAGCTGACTTTGGGCAAATAAGACAGAAGACATCGTCCGCAAGGAACAGTCTGTACCTGGAGCTGTCGCATCTGCTGCAGCTGGAGCCGGAGCTCGGCCACATTCCGCCTCATGTCGAGCAGGCTCAGGTGGACGGCCGAGGTGCCGGCGGCCAGGGGCTGGCTGGGGGGCCCCAGGGACTCCAGGGCGCCGAGAGTCTTCCCGCCAGGAACATGGGGAGTTCCTATGAGAAAAGAGCAGCAAAAACCTTAAGAAAGCCAGACAGGAACGGCGAAGTTAAGCTCCACCCATCACAGACAACTTGACTCTAAAAATGCCCATTTCCTTCACTGTGAAAATTTAAAAAAAAAATTATGCGGGTCCTCTATATGACAAAAGTAAGGAATTAAATTTAAATAAAGTATGGAAACCTCATGTCACACAGCAGCATGTGCTCTTTAACAATCATGTGCTAGAAGCTTAGTGCCAAAGGGAGGCAGATCAGTGCAGTATCTAAAGCAGGAGGCCGTGTGGGAAGCTGTCTGTCTGTCCACACAGCTTCTGTGGATGTATACAGGGGTGCAGAGGAAAGTTCAGATGTATCTGGAACAAAGGATTAACAGTATGCCCGGCTGTTGGTATCCCATCAGGTTTATATTACTACTTTTTCCATTTTTAAATCTGCATAGTGGATCTCTGTAATTTTATAACAGAAAAATAATTTTAAAATTCTGGGACCTAACACAGGATCTCCGTGACTATTTCCTGCAGGCAGATGTACCCCAAGAACATGCCCTTAGTTCTGAGCAGAGATTGGGCCGATCACGAAGGGAAGACGAATGAGAAATGAGTTTCTTCTGAATCTTTTCAGCTTTCCAGACCGAAAGCAGCAGGACCTCTGCCCTAGTTCCGACGGTGAGAAAAGCAGGTGCGATGTGAGAATTCTTTAGGAGAGGAACCCAGGCAGCAGAAACAGACTCTTCCTCCATAGTTCCTCGCTGCCATAAACGCTGGCTCCTGGAGTCCAACTCAAATAAACCTCATTCACTTTATAAGTTCATCTGGGAAGAGCCTGATTTGACGAAGTTTGCTTTAAAAGGCCTCATAAAGGATCCCAAGTAACACAGGATGAGCAAGGTACAGGAATCAAAAGGAAGTGCTATTTATATATTGTTTAAAGATAATGAATGCAGTTCTCTGGAACAGGCCACCAGAGTAAAATCTGTACCACACCCACACCCACACCCACACGCACATGCACACCCACACGCACACGCACACTCACACCCACACTCACTTCTGAAGGGGCTGGAAACTCTTTCCTGTAAAGGACAAAGTGGAGGGGGTGCCATGGGCCCGGCTGGCCTCCCACAGCAGAACCCTGGCGTTGCTTTCCTGCCCTGGAATGGCTACAGCCAGTGGTGTCTCTTCCCATCTCAGCTCAGCACTCATGGGAACCTTGCCTTTCTCAGCACATGCAGGGCTGCTGCCCTGGTGGCTCTGACCAACTTTTGGCAGTCTCCTCGCCCCCGAATCAAAATCACCCTCATAAAAGCAAGACTTGCTCCGATTACAGTCTAGTCCCAGGTTAAGGGACGATCCTGTCACTGGGCAGTAGGCACTGAGTAGAGGTCTATTTTAAACAACCAGTGAGCCCACCCCTGTGGCAATGCTGGTGTTCCTTTGGAAAGAAAGGAAGTGAATTTTCAGGCACCACACGTTCATGTGGAGCATAACTTCACTAAATGGAGGAAATACTTGGTCTTCAACACACACACACACACACACACACACACACACCTATATAGAAATGATTAGTTTCATTCCTTGATCTGACCAAAGTTTTACCTTAAGTCCAGTCAGTAAGAGAACCGTGACTGCTTCTCCTTGCCTTCTGTCCAGGCTCCCTCTTAGACTCAACAATGACTAAGGCATACCACCTTAATAAAAGCACGACTGACATTCCTTATTTACAAAGACAAAAAATTAGAAACATCTGCAGCCTTTTCCAGATCTCATCTCTTGATGTGAAAACATTGCAGGTGGGTATTTTCTTCAGTTACTCAAAGACTGAATCATAAGGTCTAAGGCAGTGGTTCTCAACCTTGGCTGCACATTAGAATCGCCTGGGAATCTTTTTAAAATCCTGATTTCTGGGCCTCATCCTCCGGAAATTCTGTTTCTTTGTTATGGGGTGGGGCTACAACATTAGTAACAAAGAAACAGAATTTCTGGAGGATGAGGCCCAGAAATCAGGATTTTAAAAAGGTTCCCAGGTGATTCTAATGTGCAGCCACGGTTGAGAACCACTGGTCTAAGGAAAATGCTGACTCATACATGACTAAGCTGAAGGCTACAGGGAAGACGAATGAATGGTGAAAGGTTTCCGTAAGAGAACATCTAGTAACATTTCCAACAATAGCAGCATGTCAGAATTAACAGCACCTTCAAGATCAAGTATTCGGAGGGAATCACAACAAATAGGAAGTTTTTCTCTTAGAATCGGCCAAGTTACTTTATCATCACTCAATCCCTCCTTCTCTTTACATTCTGAGGGCACTAGGGCACCTCACCAACCTCCTGCCTGGAGGAGAGGCCAGAATCTGTTAGAATTAAATGCTGATAACTGGTTAAAAATATCTTTCACAACAAAATTTCTTTATGGAATCTATACTCATTTCAAAAATTTCTTCATCTGTAACTTCTTAATCCACTAAATTTGGCTTCTAATTCCATCGTTCACAGAAATGGCTCTTTATAAGGTGGGCAACGGTCGGCTGTCCACCCAACAGACACCTCCTTGGTGTGATGCTGGGCTCCATTAGCCTCTTTCCTTTTCAGTCAATTTGAACTCTTCTGTCCCTTGTTTTCTTCCCTAACCACTACTCCATCTTGGTCAATCTCCTTTCTAATGTCTTCCTTGGCCAACTTTATAAAGCCTGGCCTGTTCTGTCCTGGGCCCGTTTCTTCTCTCACTGGACATGCTTTCCAGGGAGGTCACTTCCTCTACCGCCACCTGCCAAGGTCCCTCACATCTTTGTCTCCAGTATACAATTCTCTTCAGTTCCGCATACCAGTACGTTCGGGTTGCTACCGGACTTTTCATCTTCCCAGACCTCTTTCTGTCTCTGTACATCTGACCTTAGCCAGTGGCACTATTATAGACTCAGTTACTTAAATCAGAAACCTGGAAATCACCCTCAGCACCCACTTCCTAGTTGTGAGGCCTTGGCAGTGCAACTCAACCTCCCTCGCTCTGTTTCCTCATCTGTAAAAGGTGTGGAAGGGTTACTGTGTGAGATAATGGGATTAACACATGTAAACTGCTTACTAGTAGCCGGGTGTCTGGCACAGAGGGACTCCCCACTGCAGTCAGCTGTGGTTATGTCTCTGAGCAGAGTGGGCGGGAAAAGCCGCTGCCTCCCTCCCCTGCTCCCCTGGAGTGTCATAGGGCCAGAGGCTGGGGGTGACAGCAGCAGGTTGAGAGCTACAGGCAGGTGCCCTGAAATCCATGCACGGAGCTGGATTTGGTGAGTAGGGACCCCGAGTGATAAGTTCCCCTTCAGATCAGTTCACAGGACCTGGGATCTGCTCACCACATCCACACGCAGGTGGTCACATTCTGCTCCCAACATACACAGATGAATAAGGATTCATCGTGCAGTTTGTCCTCAGAAACACCCTCAATTCTGTGCACGTCACCCTTTCCAGGCAATGGCCTCCCTTCCTCCTCTCCAGTCACTGTTAGGTCATTCACTTCAGTTGAGTGTATCTCACTATGAAATTTATTACATGCAAATTTAATGTACCCTGTGTGATAGAAAGAACCTGGGTTTGGGGATTGGCCAGACTGGCTGTGACTCTTACTAAGTGTGTGGCTAACATTTTTCTTACAGGGTTGTGTGTTAAATTATATAACACCCTGTATAAAGTACAAAGTATGCCTTTGAAATGGGAGGTTCCTTCTGTTCTCTTATACCCACAGAATCACATATTCCTAAAGTAACAGGAAGTCTGGGTTTTCCTTTTCCTTTACCCTTGGACAAATGAGCTCCTTAGCTCGTATGTAATTCCATGTACTTGTCTACAGAACAGGCGTAATTCTTCTCTTACAGCTTACTTCCTTGGGTTCTGGAAGAATTAATATATTTTGTGCACTGTACAGGCTGCTATGGCAACAAAAGCCCAGCGGACCACATCTAGCCCTGACACACTAGAATGAGAAAGACCAAACTCAGCAGAGACGCAGGGGAGCAGACACACATGCTTGTTGCTGGTGGCATTGCAAATTGGCACAGCTCTCGGAAGAGAATCTGGCAGCATGTTGCCAGAGATACTCAACTGTTCGTCCCTTTGGACTTCCTCATTCCACTTTGGGAAATACTACATCCTAAGGAAATTACACCCGCTCCTTCCCCCTTGCTCCAAAACAGACATTTACAAAATTGTTCAAAATAAAGAAGTGAAAAACCTATACATCTTTAAAGGGACTGGGGCACCTTAACACAAAAAGATGAGGAAAAAATGACAGGTGGGTGGCCCTGTGGATGTGTTCCTATGTGAAACTGTGTGCAGTCTTCTTCCCTGGGAATGGGAATAATGAGGATGTGCCAGGAGTTAATGGGTTGTCATACGAAGAGCACCTAGAACAGTGCCTGGCACATTGGAAACACTCACTAAACGTCACTCATTGTAATGACGATGATGATGTCACCCAAAGTGAAAGGACTAAAAGCAGGGTACAAAGCAGCACGTACTATTGGTTAGAACAATGATATCAGATACTCATCGTTTCTGGGCTAGAATCCAGAGGGATGGGGTGATTTAGTGTCTGTAGTTTCCTTCTGTTCCCCCCACCCCCCACTTTGAGATACAATTGACCTAGACCACGGTGCAACTTTAAAGTGCAGAGCATGTTGCTTTGATACACTTATATATGCCATATGGTCACCACTGTGGTGTTAGCTAAAACGCCTCTCATGTCTCATAATTACCACTTCCTTTTTGTGGTGCGAACATTTAAGATCTACTCTCTTGGCAACTTTCAAGTATATAGTTCAGTATTTTTTTCTTTTTTATTGAATTTATTGGGGTGACATTGGTTAATAAGATTATATAGGTTTCAGGTGTACAATTCTATAATACATCATCTGTATGTTTATCACCCCAAGTCAAGTCTCCTTTCATCATTTATTCCCCTTATACCCTATTCTCCCTCCCCCCACTGCCTTTTCCCCCTACTAATCACCATACTGTGTCTACGAGTTGTTGTTTTTTTCTGCTTAATCCTTTCAAGGATTTTCGCCCAGCACACGCCCACCCTCCACAGCTATCAGTCTGTTCTCTGTGTCTAAGAGTCTGTTTCTGTTTTGCTTGTTAGTTTATCTTGTTCATTAGATTCCACATATAAGTGAAATCATATGGCACTTGTCTTTCTCTGATGTATTATTATCTATAGTCACCATGCTGTGATTGATTCCACAGAACTGACTCATCTTCCAACTGGAAGTTTGTACTTTCTGACCAACAGCTCACCATTTCCCAACTCCCAGTAACCACCATTCCACTCTCTCTTTCTATGAGTGCCATAGGTTCCTTTTCCCCTTAAGTTCATAATAGATCAAAAAAGAAATGAGTGAACAAGTACCTCCAAAACAAACTGGCACTTGCTCTGAAGACAAGTTTAGTGATTTCTGTGAAATAATTCTCTGGATGCACGGCCACTGATTAACTTCTAAGTAAACCAACAGGCCCCAGAGGCCCGGGAGGGCTGGAAGACCAGCCCTGCTGGCTGAGCAGCTGAACTGCCTGCACGTAGCCCAGGACTAACCGAGGTCCAGCTGAAGTCCCAGAATCTGTCCTTTCCACCACGCTGCACGACACTCTGTGGCTTCCCCAAATTAGAGGTTTCACCCAACTTGCCACATGCTTCCTGTGTAATTCAGTGGCTGAACACGTCCCTGGTAATGATTCTATTTCTAACCCAGTGGGAAGGACGACCTCATATTCTCGACAGAGGTCTGCCTTGAGTCTGCAGGGTAAGATGTGCATCAGATATACCAGGATACTAGGGAATTCCACATGGAATTTAATTGGGGCCCTTTGAGAGGGGGGTGAGGGAGGGGGAGGGGGCGCAATGCTGGCATTTAAAAAGCAGACCTTGGTCCAAGGACACCTTCTTCTCCAGACTCAATCACTGGTGGCCCCTGTCAGCATTCGCCCCTTTTCACCCATTCCCATGCTGCCCTGGGCTGAGGTCCTTCCCTAGTGCAGAGCCTTCCAATGGCTGCACTTTGCACTTAGATTATTATCTAAATTCCTCATCTTGGACGGCTCTTCCCTTCCCCCTTCACTACCTAAATCCTGTTCATCTGTCAGGTCTCAGTGTGTGTCACTTCCTCAGGGAAACGTCCTTGGTCTAGGCTAGAACTGTCAGTTCAACATTCATCCTTCACTTTTGCGTCACACTCAATGCTCATCTAATTACTTGCCCCATATGCATTTCCCCCACGGGATTCGGAATTCTAGGCAAGCAGCTGTGTCTGAATCATGCCCCCTGTCCTTACCCAGTACCAGGCACATAAATATTTGTTGGATGTTTGGCCATATAAATGAGTAAGAGAATGAAAGAATAGTGAATGAATGAATAAACACTGAAGGGAGAAGACCAAAGGGCTTAGTCCCTCCTAACTTAATGACGAATCTGGAATTTCAGCAGTAAGCAGGGAAGGTGTGATGGGGCGGACAGTATCAGGAAAGTCTCTGAAATCACACCACGTCGATGACTTCGGGAAAGGTCACAGACTTCTGCAACAAGCAAAGTGCACCCACGGCAGCCTGCAGACTCCCCAATGCTCCAAGAACACTTACCTGCACTCTCTGTGTGGTTCTTATTAGCTGGTGTTTTCATCATCTTCTCGCTGAATAAAAGAAAAAGAGAGTCAGCTATAGTTTCCAAAATGTCTTTTTTGCCCCCCTCCATTCATTATTCTAAGCAATGAGCAGCAGGTAGTGATGGATTCAAGCAATGAGGGGATTTTAGCATCAGCACCACGACTGGCCGGGATGGAAAAGGCTTCCCAGGGGTGCACTGACACTGCGGGTGGAAGACAGCAGGTGGGCACTCATGACTTTCAGAGGATGGCGGAGGTGGAGACGTGTGGACGGTGGCTGCAGGCACTGCGCAGTGGTCCACGAAGCCACATGCACTGGGAAGCCCATTTACCCTTCTTGGGCCAAAGGGTTACCTTCGACCAAGAATTACCAGAAGGAAAAAACAAACAAACAAACCATGATTCAGAGAGATGTAACTATTTTCAGCCTTGAAATGATTACAAGAAAACGGATTTGAATGAGTGAATTATCTTAATGATTAAAGAGAAACAGATTGAATTATTTAATGGGTTCGTTTCTTCTTTTTACCTAGATGCATCTTTGCTAGTACTTGTTAGGGGCCCTTTAAAAAGTGCAGACTGAACAAGGCCAGTTAAACTGGCAATCTGCCTCTCCATGGCTTGCATCCTCTCTCTGTAAAACAAGAGAATTGTTTGTTAAAGCTTTATTGACTTTCAGACTGGTTCGTCTGGTGAATGATCACCCGAGGGTCATAAAAGGCACCACCTAGTAGGCCAGCAAAGTGCACCCGCCTGGCTCGGAGAATGTGCCGAGCCTGCCAATCCCTGCTGAGCTGGCGTCGTGACGGGAGCCTAATGCTAACCCCAAGACCTCACTGAAAAGACGCTGTGCTGACCCGAGAGGCCTCCTGCGAAACTGGAAAGCGTCTCCCTCAGAAACAACTCTGCTTGCGTGGAGTGTTCGCGAGCCTTTCTGCCCTGCTTCTGCCATTTTACTTCTGGCACCAGCGGCGTCCTAGGCCAGCTGTGCCCAGTGGCCCAGGCCTCTAAGCTGTGCTCCTCAGCTGCGGGACTGATGACCGGATTTGGCGTCAACGATGGGGATGTGTGTTGTGTGTGAGGTAAAACTTGTTCTATCGTCTGAGAGCAACACCAATGGCTGTCCCTTAAGACCACGGAAAGATATGGTTGAAATCAATGTCTGACTGTGGGGTGAATGGTGCTCAATCTAATGACACAGGGACTTTAACCTGTGTTAAAGGGCTTCTACAGGATCAAGCAGAAAAACAAATATCCCTAACGTGAATGAATAACCCCAATTGTTTATTGTGCACAGATGCCGCACCTATTCAGGCTCCCTAATGCTTCATCACAATTCATTTGGCTCAAATTTGTGTACCTCGGACAACGTCCGTTTCACAGAGCTATTGCCATTATTTTCAACACATTAAACAAACAACATCACAAGTGGCTCCCTCTACTAGCAGAAGGCATCACACGTGACTGCAGGCAAATTCAGTTTTGTTTACTTGGGAGTTTAAAACAATAAAGACAGGCAGGGGAGGGCAGCTTGAAGAGCGGGGGCACCTTGCCGGCCTTTGTGCCCCATGCCCAGGTGTCCTAGTGTGAGCTTGAGACAGAGAAGGGACCCCACTCTTCACTGCGGTCTCAGTGCCGCCAACCTCTCCCAGTGTAAGCGACAATGCTGCCCGTGCTACACACTGCATATGCGCACACTGTGGCTTTTACGTAGCAGCCAACTACTTTATCTGGTACCCAGTGGAAATTGTGGTGGTCTGTTCTTTCCCTGGAAAACAATAACTGGTTAAGTTGGACTTACTGAGAGATGCTATATCTATATCTTAAAGTTCATGACAATCAAGCAGACTTTCAAGGGTAGTTTTGTCCATACACAACTTTTTGGCTTTGCATTTTGCCTTTGGAATATAACCCTTATGAAACACGGAGTTTAATTTCACAATTGCAAGCTTCTGATGTCAGAACTCCATGCATTTTCTTTCGTTTAAAATGGCTGGTCTGTCACAATACTGAGTTTCTTGGATGAAAGTCATGCAGTCTAGGCAGCTCATGGTTGTAAACCCACTAAGGAAAAAGAAAGAATTTAAGCACGAATAGTACGATCCCTTTGCTCTGGTGGTGTGGAAAGGAGAAATCTCGAGCCGTGAGAGTGGGAAGGCATCTCCATCTCTATGCAGCGAGCTTCCAGGTGTTTCCAGGTGTGGCAGTGAATGCTCAACCCCTGAGCTGCAAAGCATTTCCAGTCACACCTCTGCTCCCGGCCTCCTCTCTGTCACAGCACAGTGCATGCGCCAAAGAGAAAACTTAGGAAGAAGCTACCCTCAAGAAAGCAGGTAAATAAATACCTAATGGACATCCCATGTTCATCAGACCCAAGTCGCTATGGCGTCTCAGAAATGATTGGCTAGTGGCTGATCATGCTGCCTGCCATGTGGGAGACACAGACTCACACAAATGGGCTCTTGGGAAATGAGTGACTTCCTCAAGGACCCGCTGAGTAGCGGGTGACAGCTGTCCAGGGCCCCGTTCTTCCCACGGTAGTGCTAGAAGTCACACTAGTGACCCTCTGAGTCGAGGTACATTCAGAACCACCTCAAGTGTACTCGTTTCCTGCTCTCATCCAATCCTAGGCAAATACAGAGCACTGCTTTCTTCTTTCTTTTTTCTTTTCAAAGCAGCATGACATTCTTAGGGTCTAGACAGCTTTGGTGAGACAGCGGCTTGAGGGGATCCATGAAGCTGGAGTGTGGGACAGGAAGGCATGGTCACAACATAACTGCAGACAGAGGACAGCACTACTACGTACGAAGTGTAAGAAACAGGTAGGTCGATGACTGTAGAGAATAAATGAGAATCTGGTAAGAGGGAAATGGCAGAAGAAGGGATTCAACATTGGCTCTTGGCACAGCCCTGATTAGGGCTAAATCACTGTTCTTTCTGAACCCTCACTGGCCAACAGGTTTCATGACCTTGTCTAAGAAAGGTCAGCATAGCATTGAAAACCAAAACAAAGCACTGGGGCCATTCCAGATTCAGGGCATTGATCTGCAACTGACCCATCACAGCGATTGGAATCGCACAACGTTACAGCACAGGCGGGGCGGTCTCCACACGAGCGTCCACAGAGTTGCATTTCCTGGGCTCAGCGGGTACTTGGCTCTTTGCTGCGCTTCCCCAGACAATGGTTTTAGGATGCAGAGGAAGACAACCCACAAATCCACACCCCTCTTCTTACTCCCTAGGCATCATGTCCACATAGCTACAGAGCTTCCTGGGGTCAGGGTCTGGATGCTTTGAAGGAAAGTCCCTAGACTCAGGCCTGGTATCACACCCTTGGTTCTCCTTTTTGTATCTGTGAGGCTAGAAGAAAGTGCTCCCTGGGTGGCCTCCTCTGTGCTATGCCACCAGCTGGGCCTCAGAAGGAAGACAGGATCTTTCAGAGCCTCCAGAGTTCAGAACACTTGAGCTGACACCTGAGGGGAGCAATTCTCTCCCATTGCCCAGGTAACGGTGGGTCCTGCACGTGGCCGAGGCGCTGACTGCACACGCGTGTTCCACTGCCTCGGCCAAAACCACGTTACAAAAATACAATTTTTCGACACATGGAAATGAGAAAACCTTTCCCCTCCTATTTAATCATCAAAGTGTTTCTGGTTTCAGGATTCATTTGAGGGAGATTATCTGATTTATAAATTCATAAATAAGATTGTCTTTCCATTTCATGGTTGGTAATCTGGAAACAATTTTATGGTTTAACTAAATTACAGCAACTGGAAACTTTTGCAGCCTTTGCCCATGATGAAATGTTATGAAGTATGTTTTAATGTGAAAGGGGGAAAAAGTGAAATGCAGTGAAAGAAGAGAAATTATATATAACCCTCTCATTTCATTGCAGGGACAATTCTGTATAATAATCATCAAAATATTAAAGATGCTTAAGCTCATTCTTGCCAATATCGCTTGGTTTAAGGTATTACACGATTGGTATAATTACTGTTGAAAAATGGTTTAAAAGTGATATTTCATAAACCATTTTCTATCATTCCATACACCATATTTATGGGATTAGTATATGTGGTTAACTAGTCGTTTAGCACAGTAAGTCAGCCTGGATGAATGAATGTTTTCAGGGCCCAACCATAATATTAATAAAAACTCAAGTCCAAATCCAGGGCAAGTGCTGATCCCAGT